GGGAGGGTTGCTCGCAATTAAGCCCCCTCCATAATTTTGGTCTATGTTTTTTCACTAGGGGTGGGGGCTTATTTGCGGTCAAATATGGTAGTCAAAATGTTGTTCATTCTGATATCACACTTACCTTGAACTTCATTTATGTATGTTATACCTTACTTAACCCTTTCACCACTGTAGACCATAATGGACTCATTCAGATCAATGTATGGTAGAGTCTACTAAAATTACCTAGGGGTGAAAGGGTTCAGAAACTCAGATGAAACCTGTAATTGTGCAGACCCCTGTATAAAAATGACATACCTGCGTAGAACTTCTATTTCATTTTCCAGGGATTCTTCCTTGCCTGCCAGACATTTTCTGTTGATACATTTGATTGCTACAAGTTTTGACGATTCCAGCGTATCCTGAGCAAGGGAGACTTCGGAGAAAGCACCCCTAAAAAATAGAACAAAAGAGAAAATGTAGTTGTACAATTAGCTAATTAGGACCATTGTACAGAGAAAGTCATTAGCTGGATATTTTGTTCTTTCTGAAACTAGAAAAAGTCTGCAAAACATACATATGACCTTGCTCTGGTTTTGACAGATACAGAGTTAAATGCAAAGTCTAACCACAGTCTGTGAAGTAGTAAATAACGATTTTGTGAATAATTATTTTTTCTTAATTTTGATTGAAGCTTTTTGTCTTACACTTACAGCTTTAAGAGTATGAAGTTTGATGATCGTTGGACTTTCAATTTTTGCGCTTTGAGCTAAAATCGAAACCTAACCAAAGATGTCATAAGGACAGACAGAATGACAGAATATCAAAAGGGAAAAGAATGAACTGTATTCCCATTTCAACTGTTGTAGCGGCCTAAAAATCTCATAACACATTTTTCGTGTAAGAAATTAAAGTTATAAAATATCAAAAAAAATCCAGATTAATGAGAATCCAATTTCGCAATTTCGTGACTTGATATAAATGTCTACATAGCGTGGAGGTGAGGCTATCGTAACAAGTCATATGTCCTCAAACGTAGAGGACATTCCCAAGATAATCGTTAGTACCAAATCTCTCTTGCTGGATATCATCAATCCAATACCCAAATATAGTATACTACACCTATCCCGACAGATGCTTACTGTAAATCATTTTACACATATTTTAAACATTCCTACGCAAGTGATGGAAACCATTTACAAAAAAAAAAAAAAAATCACAAACATATATAAAATCTACTTTTTTATTCATTTTTTTTTTCAGATCTCCTTTGCCGAAATTTGATATCATAATTCCTTTTTTGAGAACTCCAATTACATTGAATATCCAATTACATAAGTAAATAGGATCTTTTACCATACTGAGATTTACAGAGTGTTAAACTATTATCAATGTGGACACGGCTGTTATTTCAAGTGGCTAATACAAATCTGACCTTTTAAACTTGTTGGAAAACATTACCGCAAAATTCTACAGCTAAATGAAACGTTTTCATTAACACTGAGTTTTGACCTGATTTCATCTACACAAAGATCAATAAATCTATTTACCTATACCTGTAATTGGTCATTATCAAATTGACCGACCAAACATCACACATACTATTCTACATTGGCAAGGACTAGCTAAGTCAACATTGTCCACAGAAGTCCGAACAGGTTTCTGACCGGTATAGTTCCTCTCGTCAACAAATAGTTAGAATGGCCAGTAAGCAATTAGCTTGGTAAAGTAGGCTAGGCTAGGCCTGCTGATCATATCCTTTGGATTGTTATTATCAATAAACTTTGGTGAAATTAAAAATCTATAATAGTTGAAATTGAAAATAAATTGTATTTGTTGGACTTTAGAACCATCAATTTCTGGATCATATCCTTTGGATTGTTATCAATAAGCTTTGTTGAAATTGAAAATCTATAATGGTTGATATTGAAAATAAATTGTATTTGTTGGACTTTAGAACCATCAAGTACTGGATCATATCCTTTGGACTGTTATCAATAAACTTTGTTGCTATTAAAAATCTGTAAAAATCTGTAAAGGTTAATATTGAAAATAAATTGTATTTGTTGGACTATGGAATCATCAAGTACTGGATAAAAACCAATTACGGTTAAATACAGTTGAACTGTATCCATCCAGTCACAAATCACTAAACTGGTTGTCCCACTTTCTAGTTAGTGTCTTGGACACATATTGGACATTTTTTTAAATAAAGTTATCCCAGCTGTATAGCCCGAGTTGTCTCAAAATCCAGTTACTTTTTGCTGGGAAAGGTGGGAGGATTAACTAAATTTTGTTGTAAATAGCTATATTTTGCATGTGGGTACACGGCACTCCAGCAGCTGTCAGACAGTGCGGTGGAAGTCAACTTCTACTGGAAGCAAGTCCTATGTGTACCTGTGAGCTCACACAGTGTGTCATTATCACATTGAGAAACAAACACGATGCCACACAGGAAGAAGAATAAAGGTGCGGAAAGGGGGCACACCTGGCGAGTTCTCAGCAATGAAATGAAGGTCAAAGATTGTCGACATGCAGGTCAAGGTCAAGCATGCTCATTGCAGGTCTTTTCAGTAAATAAACTTTTCAAAGTCATCGAAATTGGTAGTTACACCATTTTAAACCATTACTATTTGAGTTCTGATATCCAGTACTAGTATATATGTCTTGTCTAAAGGAGAGCTCGAATATTAAACGGTTAAATACATGATTTGTAAACATTCTCAAAGCTGAGCAAAGAAATGCAGGAGATTCTAGAATACACTAAAATCTGTGCAGACTGTGGAGGCCAACTGCAGGTTGTCGAGGGATGAACAACGTTAGGCGACTTGGCAGGGAATCCACAAACTTATGGTAAGTATGTATCGTATCGCACATCATAAAAATCAGTTACGAGTAAAAAACTGAATGATGTATAGTATATTGCCAGGAAGATCTTATTATGCTAACATCTAACTTAAGGATATAACTATATGCTACACTGTATATTATATCTGTTGTGTTTATCTCCCTATATTGTTTTTTAATAAGTTCATAATAAGCCAAATAAATGTATACCTGCAACTTTTCATACATACTGATTAATAAGCTTTGATCCATATATATACCTTGTCAACTAACATGCTTCTACACTTATCAATTAGCTTTTAAAAAAAGTCAATTAATCATAATTAGCATGTGCAAATTAATCTTCTTAAAATAATTTCACTCTTTAAGTAACTGAGGTGCATGTCAACATAAGGTAGCATATATCCTTTAGTGAAAACTGAATAAGAAAAAAAAAACAATATTAGAAATATTTTAATAACATTACACCAATTATAAGCTATTTGCAGGTATATATACATCTTTTGTCACCTTCGAAATTCATCATTATTTGAAATACAAGTGTTTAGGTAGCCAATAATATTTATATACGAGGAGAAGTAATCTTTACACTGCAGCCATATCGGATTGTGCCAATGATTTCATGTCATTGTAGACTGATACGTTTTATCAAAGAACATCTGTATCCTGAGGTACAACTCCGACTCAGGAAGAATATCGGAGTGTCTGTGAGCACTTAAGATTTAATCTTCGCCATAAAGACCTAGTAAAACCCACACAATGATGGGAGTAAATGAATCTTGTCTAACTTATTGGTTTTGAAAAGATGATTAAATTCCAGCCATTCTTCTGTAAACCAATCAATTCCCACCTCAGCATTATCAATTATTAAGACATTTAGGCAGTCACGGGTCTCCTGCCATCTTCTATAGTCCTCAAACAAAGTGTCCTGAGAGCTATTCAGGCACTTTCACACCTTACCTTTCCACCATTCTTACTTGTACTTGGTGGTCCTTGGTACATTGTCAGGTCTTCTGATCACTTTGCTTTTATTGCTTTCTCTTAGCCATTTTTTTTCCATTTCAATTAACACAATTATTTTCTGTTTTGTCAAGGATTCTGTTTTTGGTTTCTATGGTAACAATATAATTAATTGGTTTCCAATTCCCTGAAACATTTTCTGGAGTTCCAAAAAATTATTTAGATTTTTGTTCGTTTGGCCTCTAACCTGGAAACCCAGATTTTCTACCTCTAACTAAGGCACTCTGACAACTGAGCCTTCTGGTCATCAGTGATTGACCTAGTCCAGGTTCATTATTAACCCATTCAACCCTGAATTCACATTTGAACCTTACCAAGTCTGGGCAAGTCCAACTAAAATAAATAGGGATGATTGAGTTAAATTCCTCCATAGACCTCCTTTAACAAAGTCTTTGACACTTAAAAGCTCAGCTTTAACAAAATCCTTACTTCTTTAGTATACAAAAGTCAAAGGACCATAAATGCATACAGTTGAAAATTGTAAATAAATCCATTTCTAATCTATAGTTGTCCCTCATTCCAGCCAGTAATTTTGTGGACAGATTAAAGGACTTTCCTTATAAGAAATGTGTATTCATGATTAATCTGGCTCACATTCCATCCTGCTTTAGCTGGAAACAACGGATGCTGAGTTATCCAGACTCCCCCGTATAACACATATAATGTTAGATCATACAATACAGGAGTGTGGTACAATGATACCACATACAGTATAAAACCACAGGCTTGTGGCGACTTTCTTTCAGCTCCGAACAGAACACGAACTCAATACACACATGTTTACTACTTTTGTATTCATGTTTCCACTGTTACGACAAAAAGTGCAAAAATTAATGCACACTGAATTTTAAGATTATATCAAAGGGTAACAACTCAATATAATTTTAGTCCCGACAAACACAAGGCTATACTAGTCTAGACACTGTAGTAATTAAGTGTATATATACTAACAATGACACATCAGTTTTTGAAACTGCATACTGACAATAATTATATATATAACTATGTGTCATTTTAAACCAACATTAAAGACCTTGATCTGGATGAAATAAAATAAAATTCAACTTTTTTTTAACATTTTTTTCAATAATTTCAATATAATATCAAGATCTAGAATCAAGTATAGTGTAGACCAATTATACCGTATACCAACGTCCTAATGAAATTCTTTTTAGAGTGGCTGGTATAACGAATGAATACTAAAAACCTGATGCTAATTGTCTTACAAAAACAATATTTTATGACATCATATCGTCACTTTTTAACAGCATCAAGTTTTACATTTGAAAAGCTTTTCGACAATAATAAAAAGCTCGCATAATAAAAACCCTAGCCAACAAGTAATATCTTCAGATTAATTTCTATAGACATAAAATGTCCTCTTTTCATAACACTAAAAAGACTATTGGTACTTCGTATGAGGAAGGGAATGGGTGTGAATATGACATGTGATACAAAATACAGATAAATAAAGCTTGTTCTCATGAAATTTTCTTTACTGATGAAACAAACTTATACACTGTAGTTTTTCCTAGCAACAGTAACCTCTTCTTAACCTCCATTTATAAATAACTGTAGCACGATTG